GAGAATTGAGAGAGAGAGAGACAAACACACACACACACACAAAGAGGAGAGGGGAACTGCTGGGGCCGGCCCGTATTGAAGAATATGGCCGAATTTACCCGGGCTGGCCGTATATCGGCGTATAACACGCACACATCATTTGCCCCCTATTTTCAGGGGGAAAAAGTGCGTGTTATACGCCGATAAATACGGTATTTTGTGTAGCTAAGGCTGGCAGTCAGAGAAAGCCCTATTCTAGGAAAGCTTCCTGAGAACACAACTGCAAGGCAAGGGTGTGTAACTTTCCTGGCTCAAATAATTAGCATGTCCCTCCCCCCTGTTTTTCAAAAAATAAGAATGTATACATGCAAACCATCTAGTGTCAGACGTCCCATCACAGCTAAAGGCCTTTCATTAATGAAGTTTGGAAAGCAGAACAATGACCCTTTGGGGAAAGGTGGCTAGTTTCTTCTATATATAAGAAGAGCAATGGGTTGGGACACGATTGCTAGGACATCCTGCCCCCTTGGTGCTTCAGGGTGGAGGTTGCTGCAAAACTGCTTAGCACAATGAATGGTTATGTTTGCCAGAAGATATGTGATCATAAAAGGTGGCTTGAGAATGAAATTTTGTCTTGACCCCTAAGGTCAGCCACGAACAGGTTTTAAAAAGCCTGAAAATAATTCTCTTGGGGGAAGCGCTTACCTTCACCTCTCCTTTTTTTTTATTTTTCCCCAGCCAGTCTCACTTCATAATCTGGCTGGGCTTTCTATGGTTGTTTTGCTTGCTTTTCAGAATGTTTAGCTTGCTTCTCAGAGATTTTGCTTGCTTCTTAGAAAGATCAAATGTTTTGAAAACAAACACAGATTCTCCCAGGCTTAGTTTATACACCATATTCGCCTGTAACACTATTTCTTCCTTTTGGAGTGTGTGGGCTGGGCTTAGCGTGGTCAGAAACTTGAACCTGAAGTTCTCATATCCAGTCCAGATTAAGGTAACAGAAGAATTCTTATTCTAAAACTCAAAACTTCAAAATCCTGGTTTAGTATTAAGCCTTGAAACAGTGATAGGTCAATCAGTTCCCCCAAGTTTCATTTTTCTTTTTTACACACACAAAAAGGGACAAATTTTATTTGGTTTTCAGTGGAATAGCTTCTTTTAATGTTTAACATCAAACTTGTGATATTTGTCCATTGGTTCAACCTATTCAGAGATGGACAAAGAGATTTTTGTAGGATCCAATCTGGGTCGGTCACCAGATTGGATCTATCTTCCGAGCTTTCAGACTTATGCTGGAGCACATCTTTAGGGAACTTCTCTCTAGCAGCCCATCTTCAGGAAACTTTTCTCTAGATGGGCTCCAGGACAAAAGTCCAAAAGCTTGGAAGATAGAAACTCTGGTCCCGGTTTTCGACCCAGATTGGATCCTGCAACATTATCCTGGGACGTGTATATTTGCCTTCATTCAAAAGTGGTTTTTGTTCCAAAGGAAAAAAAAAGGCTGCTTTACTTAATGTCTCAATTATTTAGGAATGGGAATCTTTTAGTCCTCCTAAACCAGTGTTTCTCAACCTTGACAATTTTAAGGCATGTGGACTTCAACTCCCAGAATTCCACAGCCAGCAGTGCTGGCTGTGGAATTCTGGGAGTTGAAGTCCACATGCCTTAAAATTGTCAAGGTTGAGAAACACTTTCCTAAACTATTAAGATTTTAAAATAAAAAAAGCCTTATTGCCATAGAACATGGGTGTCAAACTCACTGCGTCATGTGACGTGTCGTGACTTTTTTTTGCATTGCTGGAGCTGGGGTGGGCGTGGCCTCTGCAACCGGCCTTTGGGCCAGCAGTTTGACACCCCTGCCATAGAATATGATGACTATGTTTTCATGTCATTCTTTGAAAGATTTATTTGTCCAAGATAAATATGGATTAAAAATAACAATCATTACAGATTTCCTGGTAAGTCAAAAATGTATGAATAAATATTTAAATAAATAGGGTCTATGGCAGAGGCTGAAAACTAATGCTTAGTGAATGATTCATGAACTATTTGATTCATGATATATGAGTGGAAGCCGAATCAGTACCAGACCTATTTAATAGTGGGATGGCTCACCTGATTACTCGAACAAGATCATGGAAGGCTCTGTCAACATTCAGTGGAGGATCCTTAGCACTAGTTTCTATATATGGAATCTGGAAAACAAAGGCTCAGTGATGTTTACATAGATACTATGCACATTTAGTGTAAGAAATACGGGAAAGCACAGTGCAAATGCCATTTAAAACAGGAAGAGAGACTGTTTTGTATACTAAGTTAGGGTACTGGCTTTTTTCTCCCCTAGGCCTGAATTCCTGGGATGTAGAAAAATAAAACTATTCAGAGCGGTCATCATTTATAGATAATCTTTGACTAATGACCACAATTGAGCCCCAAATTTCTTTTGCTGAGACGTTTGTTAAGTGAATTTTGTCCTTTTTATGACCTTTCTTGCCACAATTAAGTGAATCACTGTAACACAGTTGTTAAATAAACTCTGATTTTCCCATTGATTTTGCTTGTCAGAAGGTCACCAAAGGTGATCACATGACCCTGGGACACAGCAACCATCGTAAATACGAGCCAGTTGCCAAGAAATTGAATTTTGATCGAGTGCAACAGTGTGAAACCGGTCATTAAGTCACTTTTCTCAGTGCCATTGTAACTTCAAACGGTCACTAAATGAATGCTTGTAAGTCAAGGACTACCTGTACATTGCTATGGAAAAGGTTAATAAAGAAAGAAATATGGGCAATTTTTCAAAAGCTTCTTTATAGTC